TCCAGCATGCCTGGGTCCCCACCCCAGTGTACCATATAATCTCCTGGACACTCTCCCTCTCGCCCCTCACACACCGACCTGCACTGCAGGCCAGGCGTGTCTCACACTGACACTGGACTAGGAGTAACAGGGACTAGGAATCCGTAATATCACTCTGTCGTCATGGGAGGTGCTCCCACCCACCCACCACCACCCAGGAAGCCCACGATTTGCTATCATCATTAAGAGTCCACCCAGCCCTTTCTTCCTGGGACTGGTGCTGAGAATCCCAGCCTGTCCCCAGGGCCTCTCCTGATCCTTTTGTCCCGGAAAGGACCGGACTGCTGTGTGAGCAGAAGGGCCAGAGAAGGCGGCAGGGACATCTGTGCCAACAGCTGCTGGATGTCCGGCCTGATCTCAACCTGGGGGCTCTTGAACCTGAGACATGTGGCACAGCCTGAGTTTTATCTTCTATAATGAGCCTTCCTTAGAGTCTGCTAACCTGAGCATTTCCAACATGACTACCTCCACTCCGGGGAGCTGCTACCCAGGAAATCTGGGGGCCTCTCTCCTTCCTGCTCCCCATCACTTCCACCAGGACACACGGTCTAATGAAAACTCAACCAGGCAGCAGGCTGAGCTTATTCATTTATGCGGGAAAGAAACTGCTGCCTCCATAATCCTTGTAAGGAGAGGCCTGTCTGGGTTTGAAAAAATACTGAGTAAGGGCAACACGGTCATTGACGACAGGCATGAAATAAGGAGAGGCAACTGTCTTGCTCTGGAGAATGAGAGGAAGAGCAGAAAAAAGCGTAAAATGAGGCAGAAAGATGATCTGCAGAATGGAGAGGCTCCGCAGTGGGCCACGCAACGCTGGACCATACAGAGGTAGTAACAGTGAACACATTGTTTGCGGGTAGTTTTTATTGCACGCTCTACTACCAGTCAACGTAAAACGTATAAATACGTTCCCGCATACAATGTGTGAATTTACGTAGCCTGTGGTTTACTCATGCAAATCTAATAACAGCCTGACAAGGCGCATACTGCTATTAATCCCATTTTGCAGCTGAGCAACGGAGGCACAGAGCAGCGAAGTGACTTGCCCAAGGTCACACAGCTAGTGAAGGTGGGAGCTGGGCTTCAAGCCCAGGCAGTTTGGCTCTGGAGAGCTTTCCTGCCTCTGGTAACTCTGTGTGGTTGGTTTTTGATGTGAAAAACTGAAGAGGAGGTGAGTTTTGTGCTAGGGATCAGGAGCGGGCAGGCAAAGGAAGCAGAAAACATGCAGGAGCCTGGAGGCCTCTGCCCCCCAAATCTGCAGGAATCTTCAGAATGGAGAGGAGAGGTTGAGGCAATGCCATGAAACTCTTGTGAAGGCCCAGAAATATGGTGTATGTTCCATAGTAATGATGATGATGGTATTATCTACATTCACCGGGCTCACGTTATGTGCTAGGTGTCTTATGTTCAATATCTCATCAAGTCCACATGACACCCTATGAGCCTGGGGCACCTGTAACTCCATTTTATAAAAAAGAAGTGAGGCCGAGTGCCACCCTCCCTGGGGCTCACAGCTAGTTGGTAGCAGAGCCAGGAGTCACCCTGGCCAGTGTGCCTCCAGACCCCCGGGCCCACGCTGTCCCTGGTTCCCAGCTGGGGCCTGCGGGATGTGGCTGGTTGTGTACCTAGCTGCAGAGCCTGCTGAGCCTGTGTCCTCTCCTGCTCTGCCTGGAGCTCTTGCCGGACCTTCTCCTGCAAGGCCTGGAGCTCCAGCCGGTGAGCCTGGTGCTGGATCTGCAGGCTGTGGCTGGATTCCTTTTTCAAGAGCTCTTCTGTGGCCTGTGGGGAAAAGTGGGAGGAAGGAGGCATAAAAGTGGGCACAGAGGGGGAGATCTGTCCCCTTGCCAAGCTCCTCGGCCCCAGCTGAGCAATCTCCGCTCTCTGGCAGAGGGCTTATCAGTCCACGCCCCAACCTGCCCGGGATGGCAGTGATGGCCTGGCCACAGCAGCCATTTCGTACCATGTGAACCTAACCCTGGTCCACAGCTGACTGGACCAGAGTGCACCCTGTTCCACGCTGGACCAATCATTGGGAATTTGGTGTTATGAAGTGGGAAGAGAGAAAGAGAGAGGAAAAAAAGAGAGAGAGAGAGGGAGGGAGAGAGACAGGCAGACACTGACTAGATGCCTTCGATTTCAGCACACTCAGGAAAACAGCACTGCCAACACCTTGATTTGGGGACTTCTGAGCGTCAGAGCTGTAGTATAACTGTGTTGTGCTAAACCATCAAGTTTGTAGTAATTTGTTACAGCATTAATAGGAAACTAATGGCCTCCCTCCCTTCCTTCTTTCCTTCTGAACGGAGAGTTCCAGTTAATACACAGCCCCGCTTCTGAAGTGAGGGAACTACGGCTAGGAGGGATAAACTTGCTTTTCCAAGGTCACACAGAAAAGATTCAGGAATCATCATTCCCTCACCTCTTTATCTTTTTTACAGAGGAAGAAACGGGCTCAGAAAGTGATCTGACTGAGGACAGGTCGACAGGGAACGGTGGAGGCAGGACATGGCAGAGGCAAGATGGTAACCACGGGCTGTGGGGTCCAGGGCCCAAGCCTTTCCCCCTGCAACCTCTGGGAACAGTGAGAAACAGGATTCCACCAAATGCATGAGGCTCCCCTTAGGGGGAACAGAGCCAGCCTTGCGCCCGAGGCAGCTGACTGACTGCCGCAGCGGCCTTGCCCTGCCGATCCCCAGCAAATGGGGAGGAATGGTCTCACCCCCAGGGGAGACCCAGCCATCCTGCGGTGAGTTTATGTAATAAGGCAGCAAAGTCTCCCGCTATTCAAACTCTCTGATAGTTCCTCCTCTTGTACTTGCTGTAAGGCTCAGAGAACTCCAACTGGTGACATTTTTATGCCCCGTGAAACAGGATCGGGGAGGCGGCAGCAAAGGCTGGCAAAAGACCGTGTTGGAGAAGCTACTGGCGGCAGCTCACTGGCAGTCGATCTCTGGGCTGTGTGAGCCAGAGTGGGTCCACAGTTACTGGTGAGGCAGGGACAAGCCTCCGCAGCACAGGGAGCCAAGGTGGGCGGGGGCTCGGGGAGCCTGGGGCCCCGCGCAGGCGCGAGGGCCAGGGGAGACAGGGTTTGCCTTGAGAGGGCTGCAGGAAACAAACGTCTGGGGAGCAGGCAAGAGTGGCCAATCCGTAGGATCCCAGAGAGAGTCAGGGCACCCCGGCTGCAGGTGGGAGGGCAGGAATGTGTGGCATCCACATCAGGAGGCCACAGGAAGGCAGTCACTGGGTCTGGGCCAGGACTCTGAGGTCACTGTGAAGTCACTGAGGCAGAACATTACCTGATGTCCGCACACACACTTACACCACTGGACAACTGTGCACCAGAAGCCAGAAACAAAGCAAAAACGTAGTTGCTGGAATCAGAAAGAGAAGCCGCCCTCCTCCTGCGAGGTGCCTCCAGCGCCCTCTGCTGACAAAGCTTATCACTGTGCTCTTTGCCCAGGAGAAATGCTTCAAGAATCCAGATCATTTTTTGCAGGGCGGGCACTGAAGGCTGAATTGGGAGCTAAGAGGTAGTAAATTGATAACAGAAGGCAAATTTCCTAGTATTTTGTATGTCTGATGACTTTTATTCAATTCTCACACTTATTAATAGTTTAATTGAACAGCTCAGGATTGCTTTCTTGTCTTTCACCTTCCCCTGCTGCAGTTGAGATGCCTGATGACATTCTGATTCAAGCACTTTGTGCCTGGTGTCTTTTTTCCTTACTGAGAGCTTTCAGAATTTCTTCTGTTTTCCAGACGTTTGGAAATTTCAAGATGAGCCTCGGTAAGGGTCTTTCTCATTGAGTTCTAGGAATTTCATTCTGTTATTTCTTTGAAAATATCCTCTCCGCCACAGTCTCTTTCTGGAACTCCTGTTTGTTAGATATCAGCCTGGATAAACTAAGCCAGAGAGACTGAAAAATTCAATGAGACCCTTGACTAAGCAGCTACTATGAGCTGCACGAGGATTCGGTGATGAACAAATAGAGATGATTCCTGGCCTCAAGGGGCTTCCAGTTTGGTTGATATGATTATATAAAGAAGTAACTAGTATGAAGGCTGCTGTGACAGAGGAGGGACAGTATGTCATTGGTGGCAGTCCTAGCAGGAGCCTCATCTTGCAAGAGAGCAGGAGAGAAAGCCTTCTGAGAAAGCAGGAGGTAGAAGCGATGGATGAACCATGTTCGAACCCCCCTGCTGGAGGGCTGACGCTCATCACAGCTCCCCAAGCCTTTCAGAAGGTCTCTGCTGAGATGGTCTTTCTCAGCTCTGGGCTGCCCTCCCCCTTTTTTAGCTGCTGGGCTGAGCCTGACTCGATAGCATACATTATGCATGACAATCCCCAAATCAGGAAAGAAAATTGTCCTTGTTATCAAGGTCCCAGGCAGGTCAGGGAAAGCAGTATAATAAACCCAACGGACCTAAGTCTGAGTCCTTGCTTTGTGGCCCCGAGCAAGCTGCTGAACTTGAGTCTCTCTCTTCATCTGGAAAAGGGATATGATAATCATGACCTTGGTTACTGCAGGGGTTGGGATGGTGTGTAAAAGGCACCTGCAGACGGCACGGCCAGCGCTCAGTCAGGGTTGGGCTTCATCACCAGCACCCTCACCTTGAGCTCTTGCTTTCTGGCTTTCTCCAGCACGCGGAGGGCTCGCTGGTGAGAGGCCTCGAGCTGGGCTTTCCCGGCCTGGTTCTGCCGGATGGTCTCCTGGAGCTGGCACTGCAGCTTCTCCCTCTCGAGGTCGGAGAGCCGCCGGAGCTCCTGCAGATCCTCCTGGTAGTTGCTGGCGCACTGCTCCAGGGCCTGCTGCAGCTGCGACACCTGCCCGCCGGGCAGCCTGCCCTCAGCCCAGCCCCGCAACCCTCCCAGACTGCCCGCGAGAAATACAAGCTTTCTAATGTCTACCCGACCCAGCTGAGCCGCCTCCACCTGGGAAACTCTCAGGGGTGGAAACCTCAAGCTGGAGGAATCTGGGGACCGGCAGGCCTCCTGGGGGCTCTGCAGCTACAGCCGCAAGTGCTGGGCAAGAGCAGGAAAGACTAGGATGCAAACGGTCCAGGAGAAACCAAGAGGGACCAGCATGCCCTCTGGGGACCTACGTGGCCTCCCTTGCCTCCTTCGGGTGCTTGCTCAAGTTTTGCTTCTTACTGAAGCTTCCCCGACAAGCCCACGTAGCATTACACCCACGCCCTCCTCACCAGCCGGCCTCCCACTCCCCTTTACGCTGCTGCTCTTTTTCCTGCATCCTTGTCACCTTCTCACATTATGGGTTTTATTCATTTTTTATGTCTAATATGTATGGTCTGTAGCCACCTCCTGTGCTAAAATATAGGCTCTTCAACACAGGACTTTTTTTCTGGTTTGTTCATGGACAGACCCCCAGCACCGAGAAGGGCCCCTGGCTCATAGTGGGAGCTCATGAGCCACACGGGTGTTGAAAGAAAGAACAGAACTAAGGCTCCCACCTTGCCGTGGACCGAGCATGCCCTCCGCAGCTTGGAAGAGAGTCAGGCCCTGCGTCCATGTGCAAGGCTGTCAGCAAGGATGAGTTGGCGGCGGGGTGTCACTCAGCATGAGCACATGTCCCCATCACGGCTGTCCTCCTACCTGGGCTTGCAACCTGGCCTTCTGGCTCTGCCACTCCTCCCGCAGATGCTGGATTTCGGGTGCCTTCTCCTTCAGCAAGGAGCCCAGGGGAGACTGCAGATCACCTCCTTCCTGGAGGGGAACTTCGATCCTTTGAAGACACAGAGGCCAAAATCACAGAAGATCCCAGGCTAGAAATGGCCCTGCCACCCTGATAACTTCCCAACCCGCTGGGGTGAGGGAGCTCCCAGGGCAGTTTGTGGCATGAAAAACATTCCCTTTGGATTTAAAAAACAACCTGATATTGACTTCTAAGTGTTACTGCCCTTAGGCTACAACCAGGATTCAGCTGAACCTCCTGATATGTTTTAGGGGGTGCTGAATAAATGACGATCAGCTGTCAGGATGACTGAGCTTAGTTACTTAGTTATGGGGTCCTTGGGGGCCCCAGAAGAAGGGGTCTCCATGGTCTAACTACATAAAATAGTTTAGGCAAAGCCCATAGCTGTGCTGAAGGCATACAAGGCATGTCCGTTCCCTCCTTTAGCATGATGCAAGGGGCAGTGACAAATACTTGAAGACAGAATGAATGTGTGAATGAATGAATGAATGAATGAATGAATCCTCCCACATCTGGGTCCTCATTCACTGGGGCCCTCAGGGGCTGCACGACCTCCTGTACCTGTCCTCTTCATCACCGCTGGCTCCTTCTTTAGCTGCTAACTTATCTTGATGCTCTTCTCCTCTGGGCAGGGTCTGAGAAGGCTCATTCAGCTTCAAGCATGGATCCTAGGGCAAGACAGTTGCACCCTGAGACAGTACAGTTCCCTGAGCCATGCTGTGGTTTATGAACCCGGAGAGCGGAGGGGCAAGAGCTCCCGCAGTCCCCTGCCGGTGCACGGCTCGCAGGCTGGGTGAGGGGCCTGTGATGATTCGGTACCTAGCACAGTGCCGGGCTTAGCAGCCCTATCAGGTCCTCCTGTCCTGCTTTCCAGGCGACCGGTCATTTCACAGGCTGACGAAACTAAAGCATGGAGAGAGTTAAGTAACTTGTCCAGGTGCCACCATCAGGGAGGAGTGGAAATAGGATATGCAAGCAGGCAGTTCCACTCTGGGCCTGGATGCTGAACCACCTCGTGGTGCTCTCTGTGTATGATCCACAGAGAGGGGTCCTTGTTAGGCCTGCCCACGGGCTGTTGTGGGGATCAGAGAAGAGTGCCCGCAGCAGCCACTGGTCAGTAAATGTGGGCAGTTGGTGTTATTATTACTATTATTATTATTATTCCCATTTTCCAGGTGGCAGTCTGTGACATCTCGTTCCAAAGATCAGAAAACATGGAAATTGCTGGGAGAAATGGGGTGTGGTGGGAAGAGAATGTGGAAACTACGAGTTAATGTCGAGGCTTCGGAATTTTCTGTGAATTGAATTTGTTCATGTTATTCTCCCCTTTGCACAGAGGTGAGAAAGACTTTCTCATTTTGGTTTTTCTGCTTGTCAAGGTAACAACTGTCCACAGCAAACAGTAGAGTAAGACAGGCTAGGAACAGATTCCTTCGTTCTTGTGGTTTCCATGCCAGTAGTCACAGGGCCCGGCGAGTTTGGTTCATGGCTGTGTACTCTCAGAAATTATGTCACTGGCCAGTTTACAACCTCCATGTGGACCTGAGGCTAAATGGCCCATCTCTGACTCCTACTCCCAGGTATTTGGGGCACTAAAAGTACCTCGGACAACTCTGATTCCTATAAAACCCAGAAGCAAATATCATAGTCTAAGCAAAACAGCTTTGGGAGACACAGTTATAAATATATGTTGATATAATACAGATGAAATTGCACAGTGTATGTGGAACCACCACCACCAAAAATCAAATAGCATAATGCTACAATATAAATACATAAACAATGATTAAAGTTAATTAGGTCCAGGTTTTAAAAGGAAGACTGATGGTTATAAGGAAATTTCTGGTAAACAGAAACACAAAATGTGTTGGCAAAACCAAAATGGTAGCAGTAATCATGATACACATGAACTGGCTAAGTTCAACATGGATATCCATCCTGATGAAAGAAATCGGTCATTAAGACACTAAAAATGAAAGTGTAGGCACCTGACAACAGAGCCTGAAAACATACGCCACATGTTCAGAACTGTAGGGAGAAATGGGTAAATTTATAACTAAAAGGGGAGATTTTAATATACACCTCTCAGAAACTGACATATCAGGTAGACAAAATGAGCTGGAAGATTTGAACAAGATTAATAAGCTAAAACTAAATAGCTAAAAAAAAAAAAAAAGACTATTAATTCCTATAACATTTGTATGGTGCTTAGTGTGTGCCTGGTCCTCAACTCCATGAGCTGGGCACTGTCATCCCATTTTAAAGGTGATGAAACAGAGGCAAGAGAGGATATGTGACTTGCCCAAGGTCATACAGTGAGTATATCGCAGAACTGGAATTCAAATATGTATATTTTAACTACCAAACTGAGAATATATGCTTTTTTTCCTATCACTTAGGGAACATTAAAAAAAAACCTAAAGAAAAAATGATCCCACAGCAGACTACAAAGCAAATCTCAACACAGTTCAAAGTGTTGACATTCTACAGATCATGCTATCTGATGGCAATGCAATAAAATGAGAAAGTAACAAGAAAGCAGGTTTAAATAAAAAAACCAACAACAAGGTAAAATTCAAAGCTCTGAAATACAGCTAATGATATATACTTAGTGGGAAATTTATAGCCTCAGATGTATATATTAAAAAACATTCAAGAAGTTAGAAAAAGACTAACAGAATAAACCTAAAGTAGAAGGAAAGAGATACAAAAGATAAAATTAAGGACACAGGAAAAAACAGATCTGACCAACACAGCTGAAGGCTGACTTTTTAAAAACCCCTTCAAACGGCTGGTAAGCCCAGTCAAGGAAAACAGGAGAAGGAACTTAAAGCAACATGAATAATGGGCAGAGATCTCATGACAGTTATTAGACTTTCAGATGGACTCTGAGCCACTGCGAAGGCCGGGAGGGGATGTGCAGGATGTAACTGCTGGGCCAACTTATCGACCTCATTTAAAGGCACCCTGGGCAGGCGTCCAGAAACAGGAGAGCGTGAAAAATGCTGAAGTAGCTGACGACGCAGCTGCGTGGCTCCCCTGCTCCCGCCACATCGCATCTGTCTATTTCCGCACATTGACTCGGGGGTGCCTACGACTCTGAGGCGGGCAGGAAGGACTCCGCTGCCCTCGTGTCACGGATGGGGATCTAAGATCGGGAAAGTTCGACGACACGTCTCAGGTCCCGTGGCCACGGGAGGGTGGCACAAGGACTGGAACCCTTGGGTCCTCTGACTCCCATCCAGGTCATTCCATGTGACCGCACTGGCACCTGGCTGTGTCGTGTTGGCTCGACCGCCAGCTGCCAGAATCAGGACCTCACTGGGTGTGATTTCAAACCGTGTTGTTACAAACGTGCTGCTGAGAAGTAGCTACACAGCCGACACTGAGAATCAGCCTGAGAGATGAAGGCTGTTTCCCATATCTACAGGGAGGAGGGTTCAGTAACCCTGTTTCTATTCACTTGTTTCCAGCCCCTGGAACACCAGAGACAGGGGCACCCTTCCCCAAGGAGATGAATCCCCTCCTACTGCAAGTACTAAAGGACCCCAGGGTTCTTCTAAAGCATCCTCCAGCCAAAGCAAATTTTTGAAGTTCTTCATCTCACCTTTTAGCTACCAGGACTCAAAATGGCTCTCTCAGTCTGTCTGTTGAGCTGTCATGTATCAGTGTATGGATAAGAAAGTGCTAAACATCAGCCACATGCAGGTACTCGAGGTGCAGGAAGTATAAACAAAACACAGTTCTTGATTTCAACAAACTTATGGTCCAGTGGGGGGGCCAACGGGCCATGTAAATGACAAAACGTCCCCTTCCTCTCTCTCCTACGTACCGTTTACCTGGTGTTTTGGATCAAAGTATATCATTCCAAAGGAGGTAGGGTCCATTTAAATATTTCACAAATGGACTTGACCATGGCAATCAAGAGTTGGCTGACAGAGGGTTTTCGAGCTCCCCAGCACTTATTTCAAATGTGCACTCTTGAATTCCAAATGGAACAGACTCTGCAGCTGCTCCTTTTCTGGTTATCAGCTTGGGATCCATCCCAGTGAGTTGCTCCCAGGGCCAGCCCTGACCCACCCTGGGTGTGCCCTGGGTTACCCACACCTCATCCACACTCTCTGGTTCCCCATCAGGCATTTTCTCAGGTTCAGCTCAGCACGCTCTCTTCAGTGTTAAAGTGACCTGAGTATAAACGGCACAGAAAAATAAATAATTCTGCTGCTCCTCTAGCCACCCACAGTAAACACCTCCTCCCTACTCCTCCTGGGCAAACAGCTGCTTATTTTCAACCTGTGTTCATATTAGGTCTTTGTCTTTCATCTTCCAGGCAGGTAACCTCTTCCAATTGTTCCTAATTTAAAGGAACCCCCACACCCAGGAAATCCCCTGGAAGGGAAGAGTCAAAGTCATTCTCAAGTTCGGCTGACTTTTCAAAGGTGTATTATGTGTATCTTAAAATAGAACACCTAATGCAATGGGGTTTTGCTGAAACGATCACAGCGGACTGTAATAGATACTATAGTCACCTTACATTTATAGTGTTTAATAGTTTTGAAAAGTGCCTTCGTGTGCTTTCTTCTGTTCATCACCACAGGTCTCTGGGGTGTGGGGGGCAGGGATCATCACCTCCATTTTACTAACGAGAAGCAGTATAGTTACGTGGCGTACAGCATGGCCCTGGTGCTGCTCTTTGGGCCTCAGTTTCCCCGTATGCAGAACAATGATAATAATAACACTTGCCTGACTGGGTTGTTGTGGGACTGGGTAAAGCACTGTGGGCCTGGCTCACCGTCAGGGCCTTATCTGAGTGGCCACTAGGAGTAAAGGGGAAACTGCTCTCAGAGAGGTTTTCCGATATGAGATCCCCATGCAGGTGTGGGGTAAGGCTGGGGTGGAATTCATGTCCTAACTCTTTGACCAGAGCTGTGGCCCTCCCAACGCTGCCTTCCCGGTGAAGTCATGTGCAACCTCAGTGTCTAGGCAGGTGGCAGCAAATGTCACTGTGAGATTCCTAGATCCCCTGGGCAGAAACCTTCCTCTCCCACAGTGGCTGCACAAGCATCTTCCTGTCATTATTACAGCATGTATCACACAGTTTAAGTACACTGATTTCCCCCACTGGACATGGAGCTCTCCAAGGACCAGGACCAGGCCTCATTCACCCGGGTGTCCAGCCCCGTGCCTTGTGAATAATAGTGTCCAGGTGAAATAGCTTGAATAGTAATTAGCACCAAGACTCCTTTGTCTCCTGGAACAGGTGCAGGCAGTGAAACCTATGAAAATGTCCACCTGCTTTTCCCCCAGTGCAGTGCAACCTAGGTACCAGAGAAGTCTTCTAGAAAAAAAGACTTCCCTTCCGAATAACCAAGACCGAACTGGCTTTCTGAAAACCAGTGAATAAATCGGTGACCCCAAGTGAATCAAGGACATCAGACTGGGAGACCAGGACGAAAGGTTCAGGAAGGTCCCAGCTAACTTTGGTGGGGTCGGAGACACACCCAGGGTTGGCGGCCTTCCCTCGCGTGTTCTCAGAGTGGACTGTAAAGCCTGCTCTCAGTTGGCATCATTATTTATATCTCTTTGGACTCACGGAAATGCTTTGGCAGAACAGCCAAGGGCCTAAACAAAAACTCCCGAATCTTGAAGAGGCTTAAATTCTATAGTGCCTAACCCAGCAAGACCGTCACTGGGGAAGCTGTCCTTTTACACGCTGTTTTGACATCCCCGTTTCCACCCCCCAGATCAGCCATGGGCTGTTGGAGCCCTGCTCAGTCGCCTCCTTTCAGGCTGATCTGCCCCTTGCAATGCCCCACGTTGCAAGGTGATGCTCACACATCACCCAGGTGACCCTGGGAACTTCTCTAGGACTCTGTATCTCCAGGGCCTAGGCAAAGCTTCGACTCTCTGGGCTGGCAGATAGCTGGTTTCCCACCAATATTTGAACTAAGCTTCAAACATCCTCTGATCGGCCAAGCTCAGAAATGTTTGCAACTCAGTGTTGGCAAGGCTGTGGGGCAACAGCACTGTGGAAGGCAGTGTGGCATGTCTGTCAAAGTTAAAACATACACACCACACCTGAAAGTAACATAAGGAAATACTGAACGTCAGCTGCAGCTGACAAAGAAAAACAGGCACATGCATGGGGCCGAGCCAGCTCCACAGCTGAAAGAATTAGCAGCTACTGAGTATTCACAGGTAAGGGCAGGTGCCGTTTCCAACACCGCACACCTAGGAGCTCATTTAGCCCTCAGGCCCTCGGAGGCAGGCGGCAGCCCATCCCGTCTCACAGGGGAGGCAGCCCAAGCAAGGGGGCTTCAAAGCGTGTGTCCAAGCCTCTCCCGCCAGCAAGGCCACAGGCGTCCAGCTCGGGGCTGAGCTCACTTAACTACCGCACGATGCTACATCCCTCTACAGCTCTGTGTTATCTGTTATCATTGACATGCTATCTGTAATAGAGAAAACCTAAGAACAGCCTAAATATCCATCATAAGGGAAGGTTGAATATATTGTAGTTTTTATGCTCGAGGGAACACCAGACAACCGGGCAGTTGTTTCTTCAAAAATAAAAAGTTGAGATGGAAGTGTACTGAGGCATTACAGCCTTGAAGCTATAAAAATTTAAGTTAGGAAAAGCGGAGTGCAGGAGAGTATACTGCCATTTATAGGGGGGAAAAGCACGCCTGCACATACGCGGTATGGCTCTGCAAGGAGGAAAAAAAATAAAGAAGAAATAAAAAGAAAAAACAAGTGGGGAAGTAGGGGGAGGGGCATGCTTGTCACTGGACACCTGCTACACCTTTTGAATTCTGCACCATGTGCGTGGGTTACCTATTTGAAAAGAAAACGTAATTTAAAAGAACAAACTACACCTGCAAAGTGCATGCTAGTTGCCAAATAGAAAACACAGCGCCGGATGGCTGACGCTGTTACTGAATGTGCACTTCACTTAAACGCTGTCTGTGTCTGCGTATTTCTTCCCTGCAGCGTCCAGCTCAGAGGCTGGCACTTCCTAGGATCCCACAAGCGACTGTGGCAAGAACGAGTAACAAATAACGTGCACGTTAAGTTGAATCAAATGGAACTGGCGTTCATGAGGTGCCCCTGCAGCCCCGTGTAGCCCAGGCGTCTGCACTTCCCTGCAGACCCTGAGCTCAGCGAGGGACAAGCCGGGAGCGTGGATCAGGGCCTCCCTCAGGGCCTCCGGGAGGAGCCACGCCTGCCGACGCCTCGATCTTGGACTTCTGGCCTCTAAAGCTGAGACAACGCATTTCTGTGCTCTAAGCCACCAAGCGTGTGGCAGATCATGATGACAAACCTGGGACGGTTATACAGCCACCAGAGCCAAACAGAGACTCAAACTGGGACAGGTTTCTGACCTGGAGCAGCGTCCGGTCCCCAAAAGGGCAGCGAGCGGAGGGCCAGTGTGGGAGGAACCGACCGCAGGGATGCGGAGGGAGGCAGCGGGGCGTTTTATGGCTGTTCCGCTGCGTGCTGAACAGGACCGCAGGCCCCGGGTGAGCCTAGGGCCCCTCTATCCGCAGGGCAGGCTGCTCTCAGGGAGGGAGGGAAGAGTCATCTGGCAAACCTGGCTCTTTTTCAAACCATGTGGGTAATTACTTAGAACTCTATTTTGTTCGCAGCTTTTGCAGAAGGACTTTGTGGTGATTTATTTTCTCCAGGCATTTTGGCAGCTCCGAGGGAGCCAATAAAAGAGCCCATTAATGCCAGCGTGTGTCGCAGGGGACACTGAAGTGCTGAAACAGAGAAATAGCCTTAATTAAAGCAGAGGAGCTAGAGCTCACCTGGGTCTCTAAAACGCTGCTGTGCGGGCAGTCTGGTTCCGGGGGCCCGTCCTCGCCTCTTTGGGGACAGGCCTTGTTCTGTTGGATAAATTCTTCCAGCCTTAAAACCTAAAAGAGAAGAACAGAAATGCTTGGCACTGAAACTGGGTCCTGTCTCCTGGATGTGGGCATTAATCGGGGAATCCCTTCTCCTGGGTCAGTCAGCTCCGGGGACAGGGCTTCCAGAAAGGCCATTAATCATCAGCTGGTCACGCGGTGTTTCCGGCCAGCTCTCTAGTCCCCGCTTCCCGGCACATTACTCACATCACCTGTCTGTACTGGAGTGGGGGTAGTTTCCATCGGCTTCCACACCATTTCACACTATCTCTTTTTTAAAAAGTTAATTGGTGAAGAAAAGAAACAATGTTTAATAACTGTACAGATAATATGAGAGAAGACTAGCTAGAAGGTGCTATTAAATTGTAAAGCGTTAATTATGATAATTATTATTCACCGACTAACTGCTAAGTGTCAGTTAAACAGACGGCGTCCCTGCTCCAGACTTTGAGAACGAGGCCAATAACCATAAGGGAAACTCAGGCACTGCGAACGAGTCTTCGCAGAAAACAGAATACTTCTCAGGCACCGAGCTCGGCATGAGGAGGGAAGGGGAAGGAAGCGAGTGAGAGCAAAATGGTAAGATATCAAAATATCCCCCCTGCCTTCAAGGAGCTGTCCTCTGATGGCGAAGACAGACACATGTTTATAATCACAGCAACATTCAACAGACACAGGTACAAAACAGTAATAGGACCACTAATGGTGTGTTGGCTGTGTCAGGCCTGGACCTAAGCATTTTACAGTATTAACTCTTTTAATCTTCACAACTACTGTGAGGTGGGTACTATTGCAGAGAATTTACAACAATAAACTGTCCAGGGAAGTCCAGGGCAGCTTTAGGGGCACTGAAGGACTGAAGGAAGGTTCCATGTCGGGGGCCCAACATGAAGGAGTAGACAGGAGGGAGCAGAATCCTGGGCGGTAGTAAGTTAACTTGGGCCTGAACTGTGAAAAACACGGGAATGAAAGATTTTAGGGAAAGAAGAGTGGGGCCCTGAGCAGATTAGGGTTTTGGAGCACTGGTTCTGGAATCGGCTGACCTGGGGAGTATGTGGAGGCAGGCAATACAGGCCAGGCTGTCGCGAGACTCTAGAGACCATCCCAGAACAGCAAGGCCATCAGAATGTCTTCTTGGCTTTACATAATGAATATTTGGGGAGGGAATATTTAAAGATTATGAAACTACTTACATTGCATCTTGCTGAGGCTTATGAAATATTTAAATGAGCCCTGTGAGATTTACAGGCAGATTTTTAAAAAAATAGCCTGAGCGAGCCATTCTGAGGGTCTTGACTGAGGCATTGGTGGAAAGAGAGGGGAGAGGACCTAGGGCCTTAAGCGGAAGGACCCTCAGGACTTGACAACTGATTGGATGCGATGGTGGGGCGGGACAGGGACTCAGGCTGAGGGGGGGAGAGGAGGAGAGAGGATGTGGTCAAGGGTGACTCTTCCATTTCTGTCTTTGGTGGGTGGGTGGGTAGATCATGACACCATTAAGGTGGTAGAAGAATTGGAGGCTGAAGAGCAGGCCTGAGGCACTTTGTCCATGGTCAATGTCCAGGTCATGCCCAGCCGTCTGTAAACACTCAGGTTCTGAATGAGGCCCGGTCATCAGAGGCAGCATACTACACTAGAGGCAGTGTTTGCAAAGTGGTTAACAGCGGTGTCTTTAGAGCCCCATTACCTGGGTTTAATCCCAGATCTGCTACTTGTTACCTGTGTGACTTTAAGGAAGAGATTTACCTTTTCTGTTCCTCAGTTTTCTCATTTGTAAATTAGAGATACTAATAGTACAGTGGTTGTAAGGATTACAAGTTAATACATGTAAACTGCTTAGATAGTATCTTAACTAGAGTAAGTGCTTAACAGAGATTCCCCATTGTTACTTTTAAAGAGAAGGGTTCTAAGGGGCAGAGAAATGCCAGTGATGATCCAGGCGTCTGAGTCAGAAGTAGAACTGGGCTGGTCCCACACACATATGTGAAGCCTCCCTGAGCTCTGCAGAGCGAGGTGGTCCCGATTTCATATGAAGATTGGAGTATAGGTCAACAGGACGGGATGGAGGAAATGAAGGAAGGAAGGGAGGGAGAAAAGAGAAAGGGAGAGAGAAATGGGCTCCTTTGCTGGGCAGCCCACCTTGGGCTGAGGCAGAACAGAAACCTCTATAGCAGAGAATTTTCACCAAGACCTCATCTCTAGAGCCCCTGATATACCAGTGTAAGGCATGGCATGCTCATCATTTCTAAAAAAATGCTAATTTAGTGAGATAGAAAAAAGGTTAGAGCCCAGTAGGTGTGGCTCAGTTGGCTGAGCACCATCTGTGCACCAAGAGGTCACCAGCTCAATTCCCAGTCAGGGCTCATGCCCAAGTTTCAGGCTCCATCCCCACTAGGGAGGCAGCCAATGGATGTTTCTCTCTCATGGATGTTTCTCTCTCCCTCTCTCCCTTCCTCTCTCTTTCTAAAAAATCAATAAAAACATATTTTAAAANCAATGGATGTTTCTCTCTCATGGATGTTTCTCTCTCCCTCTCTCCCTTCCCCTCTCTTTCTAAAAAATCAATAAAAACATATTTAAAAAGAAAGAAAAAAGGAAAAGGTTAGAGAAAAACATAATGTGTGTACTCATCACTCGGCTGTAGAAACCACGCATCACAAACACAGTTACCGCCTGTGTTTCCCCAGCCCTGGCAGCCTTTCTCCCTTCTAGAGATGACCCCGGGCTCAAACTTGGTTGTACCATTCTCACGCATGTCTCTGAACTGAACTCCACTGCGTGTATTCCTAAACATCATTACTGCTTTGCACATGGCTCTGGATCTTCAAAGCTCCCCCAGGAGGCTGTGATGCACGGCCTGGGCTGAAGAACCAATTTCAGGGGCTCCTATGGGATGGTGGGTGCAGGGCTCATCTGGAAGGTGTGAGGGACGGCAGGGGAAGCAAGAAAATCTCTTTAGATGTTTGTTTTTGTCTAATCAGCCTCAGGAGTGAACCCTGTTTCCAGCCCCCTCTCCTTAGTAACATGGGGAACAGCTCGTTTAAACTTTGACCTTGGCCTCTGGGTGGTCTGGACAGGTGGGCCCATGAAGCCAACTCTGTTGTTCATCTGGTCTACATCCAGTGCCTACCCCTTTCTCCCTTGCCTGCCTCCACCATAGAGGCCTGACAGCTAAATCCTCGCTTTACCAGGCTGGCCATGCGACACAGATGTTAGCCCCGGGGAGAGTAGGAGTCAGCCGGGCTTCCGCGAATGCTTTCTGATGCCTGATGGAGTGGGCAGGCCTGGTCATCACTGCTCCTCCCTGCTTCCTGGTTTAAATTTGGACCTGACAACTGGAGAGGCGACAGACATTTGGAACCTGAGCTGACTTCTCCATTCGATGCAGCAGGAACAGTGCCCAGGGCCCACGCTACTTTTAGGGGCCATGAAGAGGTTTTAATTTCTTTTAAAATCAGAAAGAAAAAGATACAGCCTGGCTATATTCATCATCATATGAATGCAGTCATAAAATAGAATTTTTATTTTTTATTTTTGATGAAGGAAAGAGGCCATGATGGCAAAAGTGTCTAATGCCCACAGAAGGGATAGCGAGCCAGGGTGAAGGAGTGATCAGGAGAATCGCAGGTTTACTAGCTTGGTATCCTCTAGCCACAGAATCAACACCAGCAGCCTCCTGCCTCCTCTCATGTGCGACATGAAATGTCTCTTTGATAAGCCTCTGTAAGTCAGGTTCTCTGCTACTTGCAGCTAAAGTTATGCTCCCTGAGAGCTTCAGCTTTCTTATGCCGAAGCCCTTTTGTTTCTTCTGTGGACGCTGAATGTAACAAGGTTGGGGCAGTTCCCTGAGATTCCTGTCATCTCAGTTAACCCACAACTCCTCAGGCCCAGAACCATCCCTCCCAAGCCCTGCATTGATTCGGGACTTACCTGGAGAAGGGAATTCTGGAGCTTCACATTTAGAGCTGCTTTCTCTTCTTCTAACTGCTTTATTTCATTTTCTGATTTCTTTTTCACTTCCTCCAGCTGTGCCTCTATTTCCTAAATGATGATTAAGAGAATTAGCCACACCAGGCACAAAAACATGAACAGGATACACCCTGCCTTGTCCCCAAAGGGGTTCAAAGAAGTTTATGAGAGTCATAAAATATTGCATAGGAACATAAATTAGAGATATAAGAAAAGGTGAAGAGAAGTGTTAAGTTCTTACCATGAAGTCTGATACATGTAGGGGGAAGGAAGGGTAGACCTCTTGCTTTAAGTTTTGTAGTGTCAAATAAGAAAAGAGAATGCTCATTACTGATACAATTCTCAGTGTCCCATAAGTCAAAAAGCCAATTACGTTCTCAGATTCAGGGAAATAGTAAAGGCAATATATATAGGAGATATTAAGTCATTAGTGGAGATAAAAAAGGAATACCAAAAATATTAAATGAGTAAAAAATAAACAGAAAAAGAGGTAAACAGAAAAGAGATAGAAGTGGTAAATAGGAAAAACAGCAAGATGGTAGACAGTGATAATTACATTAAGTGTAAATGGCCTAAATGACCTCCAAAAGTCAGAGTTTGTCAAAATGAATTAAAGAGTGAGACCCAGCTATACCATAAAAGCATTTTGAATAGAAAGACACAGGTAGGTTACAAGTAAAGAAATGGATTAAAACCCACAGTGCAATACTGACCATAAAAAAATAGAATATCTATATTTTTATCAAAGTAGATTTCAGGACAGGAATATTTCACAAATGATTAAAGGGCTAAGTCATTCAAAAGACAATAATCCTAAGTGTACATACATCTAATAAATAAGTCTGAATTTATATAAAGCAAAAACCAAGGAGAAATAGAAAATTTGACAGTTTAAATTTGATAATAATAATAATTGTTAATAATCAACAGAACAACTAGAGAAAGATTAGTGAGGAAATAAGACTTGAACAACACTATCAACCAGCACAACCCAATCATCATTTATAGAACACTCCACCCAACAGTGGCAGATCCATATTCTTGTCAAGTACACAAGGACCATCCATCAAGATAGACTATATCTGAGCCACAAACAAGATGAATAATTGAAAAGGAATGAAATTATAGAATCCATTCTTTGACCACAAGGGAACTGAATGAGAAATCAATAGCAAAGGGATATCTGAAAAGGCCCCAATATTAAGCAACATATTTCCAAACAACCAAGAATATTTTTGGAGTTGATAGAAAAAAGTTAGGGATAAAATCTGAGAAAATCATGCACACCAATAATTATTATTTAAAGTAGAAAACAGAGACCTAGAATGGTTTGGGGTGATTTTTTTTTAAAGTCTGACAGTGAGTCTGTTTCCCCAGACACAGTGCTTCTTACACACTGACTTGAGTCTGGTGTTTGAGGGTGTGTCTTGTCTCTCCTACTAGAAGGCAAGCCCCCTGAAGGAATGCGTGATTCCTGTACCTCTGCATTGCTCAAAACACCGAGTACACATTCAATAAACGGTAAACAAACAGTGAGTGGATAGCAGCAGGTGAGGACCTGAAGGCTGCTCTCCAAGGCCCACGGCATGTGTCCTTTCTTATGCCACACAGGCTTTGGAGTCAGACAGGCCTGATACACATCCAGCTCTGTCATCGCTTAGCTGTGTGACTCTCAGGTCACTTAGCCTCCTGGGTTCCCCATGTGTGAAACAGGAAAGCCCCTGCCCACAGGGTGGAGGTAAGGGTGGAATCATGGAGCGGAGAGCTGCTCCTTTTGGCTGCTCAGCATCTGACCCTCCTCCCGGTGTCTGGGAAATCCTCCATCTGATGCATCAGAGCCCTCCTTCCGCCACAGAACCTGAAAACGGCACACCTGCCTTCCCACACTCCCTTGCAACTGGGCATAGGCATGTGACTGAGGCTCCACCAGACACGCCCAGCCCAGGTTTTGTACAAGCAGGAGGCACACAGATCTAGCGACTTCAGTTTCCAGGGCAGAAGAACTGGTCACTCGAGAGCAGCACTGACCAACGGAACTCTGTGATGATGCAGTGCTCTAACAGAGACTATTCAATACGGCCGCCACTAGCAACATATGGCCACTGAGCACTTGACATGTGGCTAGTTCCACCGAGACACTGAATTTTAAATTGTATTTAATTGTATTAATTTAAACATACGTAGCCACATGTGTCTAGTTGCTACCATGTGAGACAGGCTGGCTCTCCAGGCCAGGGTCCGGTACTGGTGGTGTCGGCAGTGAAACTGCAGGTCTGGGCTCAGAGGTGGCAGCAGGGGGTGTCCTCGGTAAATGGACATTCCTGGCTGGGTAGCTGCCCAGTTCCCTGGTCTTCCAGAAAACTACTCATTACTACCCGTTACTACATTCCTTTTCCACCTAAACGGCGCAGGGTGTGTGTGATGCTCGCCACCGAGCCTCCTAAGTGATGCAGGAGAGCTGCGGAACGCAGCAGGATCTAGCACAGCCCAGGAGGCACTCAATACATTTTCCCACGCTCTCCCCAGGAATCGATGTAGGCAAGTGCTTATTCTAGGACGTGTGCTGTGTTCTGTCTGTCAAGATTATGTGTTAATAGCATCTAATTCCGTGGATAAAGAAGACAGACAGGCCTTCTGGGTCACCTCCAGCCCATCCCCTGGAGTATCTTCTTCAGGTTAAGGTAGCATTCAGGATACACATACCCACAGCAAAGGACTCAAAGAAATAGCGTGCTCTTCACTCTAGAGGGGAGATGCTGTCTATTTTTAGTCCATGAACCCTACATTTGGGGCCTCTTCCAGGTTTTACCTAATCTGCACGGCCTAATTTATACAATTTATATCCTCAATTTATAGTGATTACCAAAAAGTAAAAAACTGGTCCCCACACCAAACCCAGGAAGAAACGCAATTTATTTCTACACGATTCACTTCCCAAATAGACTCCTGCCCCCTGATTAAAGCTGAAGTGGGATTTCTACACTCAGAGTCAGGCTTGGCTGACAGGTTACCAGGGCAACCTGCAACTCCGGGAGAGCCCGTCCCTCCCGCTGACTGTGGCTCGGGGTGGAAAGATTGTTCAGCTGTGAGTCTGAGAATTGCATTTGTGCAACCAGTCACAACTCCTGGAGAGAAAAATGCTTTCAGTACAGCTGCTTCCTCCCCGGCGCCGGGGTGGGAAACCATGGACTCTGGGGGCAGGTTTTAATACTGCCTCTACCACTCACTGTCTGTGTGAGCTGAAACAGAACCTTTTTAAGCCTCAGGTTTCTCACCTCTAAAATGGGGATACGAACACCCCTTTTTGTAATGCTGTTGGGAGGATTAGATGTGTTAATAAGAATTAAGTGCCTTTTAAGTATAAAGCCTAGTGGGTTCTAAATAGTATTATCAGATGATGTCACACAATGCACATGGTAACTAATTGTAGCCACCGTTTATTGAACATTTACTACATGCCATGCATTGAGCTAAGAGTGCAGATATAATGCCACATTAAATCCAAATAATGAGCCCTCAAAGTATGTAGCCTTACTCCAAAACCAGGTTTCAGAGTTTGAGTGACCTGTCCATGGTCATACAGCTAGTGGGAGAGTCAGGACTAGTCTGGGTCTTTCATGAGTTCACGCGTTCACCCAACACATATGTGTTGAGTACCTACTACTCTCAACTGTCACACATGCTGCATTCCTAAGTGACATATGATTATCTTTTAGGGAAAACTTACAAGCTGATGGTATAGACCCTTGGGTTGTAAAGAGGCTTCTTGGAATACAATTGCACCCCCTTATCTGCAGTTTTGCCTTCCGTGGCTTCGGTCACCCACAGTCAACTGCAGTCCAAACATATTACATGGAAAATTCCAGAAATAAACAATTCATGTTTTAAACTGTGTGCCATTCTGAGCACTGTGATGAAATCCAGTACCACCCCACTCCGTTCTGCTGGGATGTGAATCGTCCCTTTGTCCAGCGTCTCCACACTGTATAAGCTCCCCACCCATCAGTCACTTAGTAGCCATCTGGGTTATCAGGGCGACTCTCATGGTATTACAGTGCTTGTGTCCAAGTCACCCTTATTTTACTTAATAATGGCCCCAAAGCCATTCACATAACTTTCATTGCAGTTTATTGTTATAGGTGTTCTACTTTATTATTATTGTTGTTAATCTCTTATCATGCTTAATTAATAAATTAAACTATATCACAGGTAATGTATGCATAGGAAGAAACAGTGTATATAGGATTCAGTACTATCCAAGGTCTCAGGCATCTACCAGGGGGGTCTTGGAATGTATCCCTCGTGGCTATGGAGTGATGGCTATAATTAAAGCCCCACTTATGTTCACAATAATATTAACTGTTTTCCTAAAACATTCACATACGTTATTTGCTTTCCCAGCAAACAGGAGAGATGAAGCCTTACATTTCTCCTGAGCAGAAAGCCTCCCCCTTTGGTGGGAGGTTGGAACAGGACCCGGAGGCAGAAAATCTTCCCCCACATCGCCAGGCGCTGATTAATTACCTGCATCTGCGCAGAGCCTACTCAGCCTCAGGCGCTAGACTGATGCTTTGTTTTTCGCACATGGATTCCCTTATTTAATTCTCGTATTCTATGAGGTGCTTTGTCATCTAGCTTTATACATGAGGAATCTGAGGCTCCCAGAATCTCTCTCTGAGGGGCCCAGGTTAAATTAACAGGCTGTGGTCACAGAGCCAGAGGGTGGCGCAGTTGGGGATTTGAGTCCAGGCAGTCGGCCAGCCTGAGTGCTTGTTTCACGCTATTTCTCTGTTTTTGCTGAGTGGAGTTGAATTTGCCTGTTAAACGCTCAGATGGCACTATTCTAGCCCATGTCAATGAGTCCAGGCCCATGGTCTTAGGGTGTCCCCATCTCCTCCAAAAGACCCTGAAGCCCCTCTGGACGAAGAACTAGCTTAGATCTGTACACTGCAGGGGCTCAGTAAACGTTTGAGGAAGGGAAGGAGAAATAAAAGAGGCAAGGGGGAGTCAGGAAAAGGAAAGGGAGCCGCGTCCGTGGAAGCCATCTCACCTCCTGCAGCCGCCTCCGGTCGGCCTCCGCCGACGAGCGCACCGACTTGATCTCCGCGTTGTGTGTCCTCACCAGGTCTTCCAGGCGCTTCACCAGCTGCTCTTTGAGATGTTTCTTCTCCTCCTCTGTCTGGTGTTTGATTTTACGAAGGTCCTCTTCGTATCGCTGCTTCATGTGCTCCGTCTCCACGCTCGCCTCCTTCTCGGTCTATAAAAAGAGACAGGGCCTTGTAAGCGGGCCGGAGGGGGGTGACGAGCCGGGAACCACCGTTTCTTTTCTATGCAGCCTTTACAATGTTTATGTGCTGGTTTTACAGCCTGTTTCACAAGGTGCAATAAAGTTTATAAGACTATACATTTGAGGTTTGTAAGAGACTTGACTTTACGCACCATCAGAAAAGGGCTCTTTGGAAGAGTGTATCTCCTGTCACAGGACCAGATAGTCGGGTCCACAGAGTAATGGTTTCTAAAGAATGCTTTCTTTGTTTGGACTGGGAACATGTAGTGGGAATACTAAAGCAAGTTTCCAGTTTCCCAGGAGTTGACGATAAGGAGTTGGGAGAATTCTGCTACGTTCTCAGCCTCCTAGTTTCTAATGACATGAAGTTGCCGGGAAGTTGGCTGGAATTCAGACCCACGCGTCCACCCCTGGAGCCATGCACCTGCTGCTTCTAGGTGGATCCCCCGTGGTTGGGGATGGGTCTCCACCTGAAGCTATTCTGGCCAAGCCTCCTGTGTCTTCACCCATAGTGCTGGGCCACACACACCTGTGTATCCGGGCCTCCTTTCGTACACGGACACTCCTTGGGAAGGTTCTCATCTTGCTGAGCATGGGGACTGAGGGCTTCCACATCCTTTGCTTTCCCTAAGACTTCCTTCTCTGAAATTCGCTCTGTTTTCATGTCATCTACGAGCAAAAGGTTCAACATGGTTTGGAATGCCCTTGGCCTTGGCCTCAGTCTGAGGTCTTTGGCAGTTGGGACCCCATTCTGTTATTCAACAATTTTGCCCACCAACCCCCTATGAAATCCCTGCTCCATGGCCTCCTGGCCTTCAAGCATGGTCAAGGTGATGACTGTCATCTTTACTGGAGCAGCACCCTGAGTTCACATAGTTGTCCTCTCTTCTTAACCTACTTATCTTCAGATTTTGTGATTGTGTCTTCCATAGGTTAAAAAAAAAATTGAGCATATCCTGGATATCTGTACATTCAAAGGATTTAAACTGAGAGGAACTTCAAGGATAAGATAAAAATAAATATAACTAAAATCGATCATTTTCTTCCCGCATTCCCCAAGGTACCCAGTCCCTGCTTTGGAGACCACTGCTCGAAACCCTCCACATGCTCCGGTTCCACTCGAACCTCTCCTCCTCTGCGCCTTTCCAGTCCTGGGTGGCTCCTCCTTTCCCAACACCTCATCTTCCCACAGCCTGGGCCACGCCAGTGATACCAAAGCGGCTGTGGGCTGCCATGTAACTGTCCTCGGCACCCCCTGGAGGCAGAACCCATGCTGTGTGCCTTCGCTGTCTCTCCCAGTGTCAAGCTGGTCACACTATAGGTACTGGAGAACTTTCTGATGAGGAGGCCTAGGGGGAGGGGCTCTGGAATCAGATATTCTTAGACACGAGCACCAGCTCTGTCACCAAGCAGTCTGGTTGGCCTTGATGGAGCCATTTACCCTTTCTCAGGCTCAGTTCTTCATCTGTGACATGTGGACATGTGATACTGACACCACCTATCTCACAAAATTATTGGGAATTTCCAATAACGTCACTGTGTAAAATAATGTTGAAAATATGAGGTGTGCGATGGTTACCAGAGAAGAAGGGGGCGGGGGGAGGCTGAACAGGGGAGAAGGGGCCAAACATGTGGTGATTGAAGGGAACTAGACTTCAGGTGGTGAGCACACAATAGAGTTCACAGGTGCATTAATGACGCTGTGCAACTGAAATTTAACCAATGCTATCTCAATAAATTACAATTTTAAAGAGTATCAAGTGTTGTCTAAGTGAGGGGGAAAAGCCAGTGCTAAGAGGTTCGAGCACTATAGTGGGCCTGGTGGGGAAATATTTGGGAGCAAGGGTTCCTTTTGCATCACGCCTTTTAGAGATTTGGCCTGTAGCAGCGCTAGGTGTTGGCTCACCTGTGTCTCCCAGGGACGGGACTGGCCCACCAGGCGGAGCAGATGAAACAGCCCTGCCCCTCCACGCTGCTCCCTCAACAGCGCCAGTCCAAGCTGGCGGCTAACCATCCACCTGGGAGGAAATCATTCTAGGGCATCTCACCAGTTTTCTGTGTCATGTGACACTCCTGCAGAATTAGTCTGTCTTTGGCCACGGCCAGCTTCTCCCCGAGTTTTTTTGCAGTGCTTTTCAACTCTGAGTTCTCTTGTCGAGCCTCCTTGAGCTGCATGTCTAGGTCCTAAACAGAGAGACAGTGTCTCATTTCTCAGGTTACAGTTTCATAGCCAACATCAGATCTGAGCCGCGGGGAAGTGCAGAGCACAAGCCCTTAGTCCTTGGAATTCAATGGCCCAGGGTTCATCCAATCACTACCCATCCTCTGATTGGCTGTGTGACCTTGGGCAAGTTAGTTAACCTTTATGTTGCGAGGATCAAATAAGATAAAGTATCTGGGACAAAAAATGCTCAGGACGTATTAGGAATATGAGCCATTGCTCCTTAAGGATGGGGCTCTGCAAGTCTGTGGGGCTCACATAACTGACTTAGTGGTCTGGCTGTCCACGAATACAAAGTCCCAAGGATTTCAGGATGGGCAAGTCGTTATGAAATGAGCAGGGTCTTTAGAAATAGGCTGACCTAAGGTAAAAATACTTATTAGCTGTGTGCCCAGCTAGTTCCGTCCTTAAACCCCTCAATTTCGGTCTTGTCTTCTCATCTATTAACTGGAAGTCTAAGCTCTCTGAAGTCGGGGGCCAAAATTAACTCACCATGTGTCTCCTGCACATAGCCCTGGCCTGGCACATAGTAGGTGTTCAATAAATATTTGCCGAATCAATGTGGTTGAACTCAGTGGGGATAATAAAGCTCACTTCGGTAGAAATCAAGTGCTTCTCACAGCGCCTGACACATAGCAGGTGCTCAAAATTAGGGGGAATGTTTATTATCCCATTGGAAAGGGAGGGAGGGAGGGATCTTGCTCTACCTGGATCCTTTCCTTCAGCTTCTGGGCATACTTCTTCAGGTCGCTTATCTTGCGGCCTCTGTGCTCCAGATCCCCTTCCAGCTTCCTGACCTGGGCCTGCAGGGCCGACTCCTGGACCTGGAAGTTCTTGCGGAGGTCGGTCTCCTTCTCCTGCCACTGCCAGAGCGCCTCGCTCACCGACTGCTGCATGGCCTGCCGGATGGCCTCGTTGTCCCGCTCGTAGGTGGCCTGCAGCTCCTCGGCCTTGCGCGCGTAGTCCTTGCTCAGCTGCTGGTTCTCCACTCGCAGCCGCTCCACCTCCAGCAGGACCTCCCGCATCTCGGGGCCCGAGCTCGGTTCTGCCTTGGGGTCAGGGCCCTCCTGGGAGAGCCGGCCCCACTGGGGCGCCTCGTGGCTCATCAGGTGCCGCAGTCTCTTCTCGTAGTCAGCCTTGAGCTCCAGCATCTCCTTGGAGAGGGTGAGGACCCGCTCGGCGTGCTCAGCCTCCACCCTCAGCTCCCGCTCCTTGGTCTGCAGCCTGCAGGTGGCCGACTGGGCCAGCGCCTCCTGCGTCAGCCTCTTCTGCAGCTCCAGGGCGCCCTCCAGGGCCTGGATGCGCTGCAGCAGGGCCTCCTCCTCGGCGCGGCCCTGCTCCTGCAGGAGCCTGGCCTCGGCCTGGGCCACCGCGCTCCGCAGCTCCTCCTGGTGGGCTTCGCGCAGCGCCTCCATGCTGGCCTCCGCCTCATCCTGGCGGGTGTTCAGGGCATAAATCACCTGCAGGAAAAGCCACAGAGCCCAGTTAGTGCGGGGGTGGGGAGGGTGAGGGCCAAGTGACCACAGGTGCTCCTTTGTGGTGGTGGCTCGGCCCATTCCCACGAGTAGCACCTGAGAAGAGGGTTGTGTGGAAGTGGCTTATTAGAATCGTCCCCAGCAGAAACCCGTAAGGGAACAGGGACATGGTGGAAGCAAAGGAGGGTGTGATATGACATAAAGGCCCCAAGTGGGTGTCTGTGGCAGCGCGCCCTTGGGGACCCCGGCAGCGCTGTGGGAATCCAGTGAGGGTTTAAAGCTCTAATTGGTTAAAAAAAGATCACCTTGGGACACGAAACACTGGAAAATAGAATTCAGCAATACGTAAAAAGATGTTTTCCCCATCTCACTTCATGGCAACTCACTTCTTCCAGCTGCTTAGGTCAAATTTTAGAGTGGACCACTAAGCACGTGGAAAGATGCTCAGCATCACTAGTCAGCAGGGAATGCAAATAAAAGCCACAATGAGATACCACTTCACTTCCGTTTGGATGGTTATTATAAAAAACCCAGAAAATCAGCCTTGATGAGGATGTGGGGGAATCAGGACCCTGTGCATCGCTGGAGGGCATGTGAGATGGGGCTCTGTTGTGGAAACGATATGGAGCTTCCTCAAAAAATTAACCACAGAGTTACCAATAACCCAGCAGGTCCACTTCTGGAATTTCAGCTCCAAAACCACCGAAAGATGGGACTTGAGTAGATATTGGTACACACGCGTTCATAGCATTATTCACGCTAGCCCAGCGTCCATCAACAAATGAATGGATAAACAAAACGTGATACAGACATATAATGGGATATTATTCAGCCTTTAAAAGAAATTCTGGCACATGGCACAACACAGATGAACCTTGAAGACATTACGCTGAGTGAAATGTCAGTTACGAATGGATAGATGTCATATTATCCCACTTACATAAGGTTCTCACAGAGACAGAAAGGAGAATGGTGGCTGCCACGGTCCACAGGGCGGAGGGAATGGGGAGTTGTTGTTTAATGGGTATAGAGTTTCAGTTTGGAAGGACGAGAAGGTCCTAGAGATGGTGGTGATGGTCACATAACAGTGTGAATGTACTTAATGCCACAGAACTGTGTGCTTAAACATGGTAAATTTTATGTTATTTATATTTTAGCACAATAAAAAAATGGTTTAAAAATCTATTGGAGCCACCCTGTCTCTGACATCCCACATCCACCCCATCAGCTGATCCCAAACCTCTCCACTTCTCACCATTCCAGACTCCCCTTAATCTGGGTCATGAGCACCTCCCACCTGGACCACAATGGCCTCTTAATCCTTACTTCTATCTTGCCACCTAGAGCCTGCTTGAAGTCAGTCAACTTCTATTCCTGTCCGGTCAATGCTCAAAGCCTTCTGATGGCTTCCCAGCACACTCAGGAATAGCCAAAGCCCTGGATTTGGGTGTGGAAATGCCCTGGAAGCGCAAAGATCGTATAGTTGCTGTCCCTCCCTTAATGGAAATGGCTCGGGACAGGTCCCAAAGAAGGCTGTGCTCCTGGGCTGTGCAAATGGGCTTGGAGTGGATTTTTAGATGGAGTCTAAGATGCTTAATTAAAATCTCACCATCACTATTAGAGAGCTGTTGCTAGGCGCCTAGCTGTACAAGGCATTGAGCTGCGAGGCATGAGCTTCTGATTAACGGAAGCCCAAATGTCTCCCAAACCAATTCAGATGGAGACCTAGCTGAAAGGTAAGGGCAGTCTCTCCAGAAGGCTCTTAATTAGAGCCCCCCCCTCCTTAAGAGCCCAAGCGAACACTCACACAGACACAGGCCTGCCTGCCTTCCAGTGAGCTGCACAAGATGCGGGACCTGGCAAGGAACCATCCTGTTATTCAAATTCTGAATGACTTGTTTACAGCTTTTGGGAAGGCAAAGACTAGCAACAGCTCCCTTGGTTAGCCAACTTGGTCCATAGATGTGCATATGTGCTAGTGATACATTTTATTCTGTGAATAAAACCAGCACAGAGGAATCTTAATGCCTCTTGCAGGAAATATTTTAACAGAGAAGTAATCCAGGTAGGAGCAGCAAACCTGTAAGCACGCATACGAAAGAACTGTGTGACCTCAAAAGCAGAAACAGCCACTCCTCAAGTTTATCTGTTTAATTATGCTTTTAAAAATGTAAATTCTGAAAGCAGGCTTTGTGTACATATCTATATAGACATGTATATCCATTTGCTCCATATAAGTGATACAACAATGAGTGCTGTTACTTTTACTCCCCAAAAGCAGTTTTACTTCACAAAGCAGTTTTACAAGGCCAACCCCACAGTATGAAAGATAAAGACACTGAATGCCCATATTAAATAAATTTTTACTTTCTCCACTGTTCTCTGGGGGGGAAAAAATCTCTTTAAACATTTTTCAATCCACTTATTGTATCTTCTGCATAATCCTCAGATAAACAGTATGTTTCGAGCTAAATATCCTTGTCCAAACACCTTAACAAAACCCAAAGATCCATTTATGACACACGGGTCACCTTTGCAAACTCTCTTCCCAGCCGTGGCTGAGTTTCTGTGCTCTGGCTGCACGTGGCCTTCGGCACAGCAGCAGGGAGTTCTGTTCTCAATTTATGGGTGGTGGTAGATGTTGCTCACTGATCATCTATGCCAGAAAGAGAGGTCCACACTGGGTCAAGTTCATGGGCCAGACCATCTTTTGTCTCTGACTTGTGCTGCTAGAAGCATCCGGGGGAGAACAGAGTCAGGACTTACTCAACTTTGTGTCCAGTCTCCAAATAGTGGGCCAGGAGGCACAGAGTAGGTCCTGTGTGAGAAGCTACTGAATGAGCAGGGGCTGTTTTGTTACACATCATTGTCTCCTCACCATCTAGCAGAGCCCCTGGTCCAGAATTCAACAGAGGGTAAATGAATAAATGAATGAGTTATGAAAGAAATGAATGAAGAATTTTATATGACAGAGAGAAGAGAGAACACCACTCAGGTGTGTTAAATGCACGTGAAATTATGGTGGGCTGCCTTGGGAGAAAGGCATGCAATTGTTATCCTATCTAACTGGTAAAAATTGCATTTTGGTGATTTTACTCATCCCTGGTTATAAAATCAGAAAATAGTAGAAATTATTCATCAATAAATATTTAGTGGGCACCTAATATGTACCAGACTCTGAATCCAGACCTCTTTTGGAAAGCAATAGCTGCCAAACTCCTATTAGCACATTCTGGGGGTGAGTATCTGGGAGGTGCCAGGGTGGGTTCTGATAATGAAATCAAGTATAAAATCACCTCTATTTTCATTAATGGTGACAGTCTTCTTATCTTAGCTGACTTCCCTTAGCCAGTCTTTTAAAGTCTGCCAGTTCTAAGGGCAGAAAAGGTATTTAGCACATTCTCCTAAAAGTCTCATCTTTGCTTTTAAAAAGAAAAGTCCAGGGGCTATGGAATAATGCCCTTTCAGCATTTCTTGGCCTGAGCCTTCCTGTCTAGTAAAAATATGTGAAATCCCCTTTAAAATCTTTCAGCAACCAAATACTAGAAATGTACAGATTTAATAATCAGGACTCTTCTAGATACAAAAACAGAAACCCAAACCCAGGCTGGGAAAAAGGCAATTTTTTGGCTCATGTACCCGAGAAGTCCAGAGCCAGTGCTAGCTTCAGGTACAGATAGATCCAGGCTCTTAAATGATGTCACCTTGACTATCTCTTACCATCTCACAGTTTTGCTTTTCTCTGAGTCGGCTTTATCCTTTGGCAGGGTTTTGGCAAAGTAGCCACAGGCAGCAAGCACCAAGATTACATTTTGTCAGCTCAGTGTGTCCCCAGAAAGAGCTTCTCTTTGTCAACAGTTCCAACAAGTCTCAAAGTTGACTCCATTCGCCTGAGCAGGGTCATGGGTCTAACGCTAATTCCTACGGCCAATGGGATAGGATACACCGATTGGTTAATTTCAGGTCATGTAGGGTCCCGGATAATGGGATTGAACTTCCTCAACCACATGGACTGAGGAATGAAATGGGGTGAGCGGCCAGCATCTCAATGGAAACTGGAAATCTAGTGCCAGAAAAATGGATGCTGTGTCAGCAAGAACAGACGTCTACACAGCTGATAGACCTGACCCTTCAAAGAAAGCCCAGTGAGGTTCACAGAGCACCAACTTCAGAACTGGAGGAAATAGAACAATGGGTTAGGATTTGGTCTCTACTCTCATAGAGGAAACAAGAAGCACTTATGCACGCACACAGGCACATGCGAAACATCCAGGTGGAAAGAATGCCCTGTGGGGCACTGGAGGATGCACAGGGCCAGTGACAAGGGACCTGAGTTCCGAGGCCCAGTCCTGCCCTTCTCAAGCAGCAGGATCTAAGACAAGTCCTTTCATCTCTCTGAGAAAACTAAGTTTATTCTCTTAGTAACGAAATGGTTCAATGAAACTGATATTTTCCAAAGGGAGTGGATGTGAACAAGGGAGCTCAAGGTCAAATGGGCTTGAGGCGTGGTTAGGCAGTTCTGTTATAAAGACATTTAATTGGTTTTGCCCCAACAGTTGGTCACTGAGTTCCTTTCTTATTATAATGCCAATTAATATCCCTCACTTAAAGCCCCGGCACAGTGAATGCACGCTCAGTCAACCTGCAGGTGACATTACAAGCAGCACAAAAGCAAAAGCAGCAGGTGTCTTTAGGACACACACTCACACATGGTACTGAACTCATCGCGTGTCAAACAGAGGTACAGAGAATCCTGCAGTGCTGAATTCAGGATGAGTGACTATTCTTACGCAGTTTCCAAAACCTGGGATGCTCAGCAGCCCCTTTTAAAAGGACAAAAGTAGATGATGATGGTGATGGTGACAGTGAGGGTGATCCTGACAATACTGATAATGGCAACTAACAGTTCCTGGGAGTTTATAATGTGCTAGGCACTGGGCTGACAGCTTTATACACCCTCTCTTATCTAATTCTCACAATAATCC